GTCCACTCTATCTCTTCCACACAATCGTTTAACCTCCCAGTTAGCTATTTCTCTTGGTTAGTCAATGTATTTCAAGGAACACTTCAGCCACCTTCTAGGGTATTACAAGACTTGGGGTCTACTGTTTTTCTGTTATGTTATCTTTCATGTCTAATTCCAAAGATATCCTTTCTGTTTTGGGCACAGTGACTTCTCTTTATGTTGTAATCCCCTGGATGCATACTAAAATGTGACATCTACAGTGGGACCTTGCATCTTAATGGTGTCTCCTTTAGAACAGTGCCCAAAATCTTGGTGTCCTTGAAGACAAAAGGGTTGGGAAAAGTCCTTGAACAATGGGGAGAAATGACAATGATTTTTCCATGGCATCTTTAGGAAACAGAATAATGCTAATTACCTAAAACAACATCCCATCCCATGAACACATCGATGAAAAGATGAAGGTTTATTAAAAAAGAGAAAGAGAGAAACATTAGAGTGAACAAAGAAACAGCTGGGATACCAATGGTATTCCCAAATGGTGAATCTGGTGAGATGTAATCCAAAATTCACTTCTTAAAACATTCAGGAACATCACTGTAAACATGACAGATCAACTGCACGAGTCATTTCATCAACATAGCCAAAGTAAGATTCATGGAGCATAATTTGTTGCATGGAATAAACAACCACTGCCAATGAGATAAAAAGCAAATAGGCCTGATTTGACATGAAAATATTTTCCAAAAAATATAATCAGTATCAAACAGGGTAGGTACTACAATAGGTTATTGTCTCTTGCAGCCCAAGTTCTAGGGAGGAAGATGTGATATGAGTTCAAGTATAAAGCCTTCTGAGAAAACAATATATGTAAAGCATCAAGGGCATAGATATTAGAATGTCTTCTACCTGCAAGCAATACATGAAAATGTTTTGAGGGTAAGTGTTAAAGCAAGTAAGCCATTAAGGATTTCAAAGTGGAAGATGCCAAGAAACATAAGACTAAACCTAAGGCAGGAAAGTTGAGCATTATAGTAATACCTGGATTGTCATACACAATATAGGTAAGGGCCTACATGGTAAACAAGCAGGTAACAAAGAATAACTTACGTGCTAGGGGTTCCATCTGTCTTGATAAATGACAATCATAGGCAAATGGAATTTTAAGGATAATTAGACAGTAATCCCATGTAAATAAAATTTCAAGAACATATTGGGATTTGTTCACATGTTGGACTGCATGATATATCTTCTATAGGGTACTGCATAAGTGGACATAGGATGTCATCTGGTGGTTAATTATGGCTCAGCACATTCCTTTTCCTACCTCTGCTTACACATCTTTGCATAACATTTAAGACATCCCTTCTCCATATCATGTCTTGTATCTCTAACCATAATGGAAATAACAATATTTTTATTTTTTCATTAACTTTAATTGGTATTTCCAATGCACTTCCTAGAATTCTGGATCCACTGACTAAGCTGGTTTCATGACATAGCCACCCTTTTCAGGGTAGGGTGTAGCAAGAAGCGTTTTAGTAGAATTCAGAACCAAAGTAAAGTAGACTGAATTAATGAGAAAACTGCATGAAATACACAGGGTTAAAGGAATGTGGATTAAAATTAAGACAGAGAAAAGAATTCTTCTCAGTAGGGCACCTCCTCACCTTGAACACCTATTAATAAGATCTACATATAAATGAAGTTGGGTTGTAATAATAGAACCTGTGAAGCTATGTATAATCTCAGGTGTTGACATATCAGGTAATCATGGTCATAGTACAAAGCATTGTCCTGTACTTGTAGAAGTTTCCCATAGGAGGGATCTAATAACAAAGGTTGGACATGATCCTAGGCATAAGGCCCCCTTCTTAATTCATTTGTCATGGTCTAGGTTGTTCCTCTCCTGCATAAGAGCCATACTTTTGGGAAACCAATGTTCCTTATGACGTCATATATTGTTGACAGCTTGAAAGCAAAACAACAAGAAGATGCTTTTAATATTTAAGAATTAAGTACCTAGTTTAAATTCATTTCAACACTAAAACTGTAGAATTTGCATTACCTTTATTTCACATTATTTTTCATCCCTTATGCATAATCTAAAATTCAAACACACATTACCTATCACATGCTCTTTTAAATATTGCAAACAAGAATAATTCAAAGAAGTTATATACTAAACAAGTATAATCAGTAAATGTTTTACACTGTAAAAATTATCTACACGTTTTATTTTTATCGTTGTAGAACAAAAGTAAATAAACTTGCATTCTTTTTTCATAATCTAACATTTTGTGCATTTGATTTTCTTTTACCAGTGCCTCTAAATTCCTTTGATATGATTAATTACTTTGTGTTCCTTCTTCAAAATATCTGTATTTTATCAGGAAGTGTATTCCCATGTATTGTTTAGTTATTGTTTAATTCTACATCTGCATTCTTTTTTTTATTCATATTACAAAAATTATAAGGCATTTAGTTTTACTTTCTAACCTTTTTTAAAATGTCCATTCTTTCATTCCTTAGTATTTAGATTATTTTTATCTGCCCTTCTAAATTTGTGGTTTCTTCCTTCTTTTTTTTTTTCCTCATTCTTGAGTTTTATTGAAATCAGGTACATGTGCAGTACGTCATATTGAAATATTGGTTTGTTTTAATATTAGTTTCATTTTCTTCTCTATACTTATACTTTTGTCCCCTGGTGGGACAGTGATAAGTCTTTAGATTTACAACATTAGAATCAGGGGTTCGATTTCTATCAGTGGACACAGCAGATAGCCCGATGTGGCTTTACTATAAGAAAACACCAAACACTTATACTTTCAACATAAGTTATTTCAAGCTTACAGCAACTTACACAAAGTAAAAATATACTTTAAGAGAATATGTAACACACATTCACCAATTCATACCAGTGGCCATTCTTCCTCCTGTTTTCATTTTGGTAAGCCTTCTTTGTTTCTAGGATAACTTACAAATGTTTTGATTAAAAAATTAATGTATGCTTAGGAGGCAAAGATATACTTGTATCTGTCCCACACTATAAATCTATTATCTATAATGTTTGTAAACTCACACTACAAATCCATATAATTTAAGAAACTGTAGTATGATTTCTGGCATAATATCTTTAAGCATTTCTCTAAGTAACTATTTACTGTTGAACTCTTGGAGACCTGTTCTTGGCATGTGCCTTGTAAAATTTGCTCTAAGTTGAAAGATTAGCAACTTCAATGGTGGTTGTCTTTTAATACATTACTTTCTTTGAGAGATTTCTACAGCAGTTCTTATCTTCCACTGGGCTATTAAAATGTACTGCATTCTGAGCATGTCGCATGTACTTCATACAACCTTACATATTCACTGTAACATATTTTGTAAGTACAGAAAATCCTCCTAACATGATTTATTAATCTGTTTTGTTACAGGATACATTGTAATCAAGTGATTAGTATTATCAAAATCATCTTGCTTGAAACTTTTAAACTCAAATTATTTATTTTTCAGTACCTCTTATGTTGTAATTCATTTATTCTAACTTGTGTGCTTATCAAAATTCCATGTGCAACAGGTTTTAGAATGTCCTTTAAACTTGTAAAATATGTTCACAAAATGAGTAACAGACATTAAATCATCTGACACAGAAGTTCCCAAGCTGTGGGCTGTAGGCTTCCTTCAAGTAGTTTCTTCTTTAGAAAGTTTGCATAATTAGGGAAAGGAAGTGACAGCATAGTGTATAGGTCATGTTGTGATCTGCTGAGATAAAAAATATTGAGATGGTTCTCGAATAAAGAAGTTTGAGCACCACTGATCTGACTGAAACAAAATCAATTTTTCCTGGACTATGACCTGTTCTACCACTCAAATTATTAATGCCTCAGTGAGTGTCTAAGAATGGAGATGATTCTCATTTTTTGAAAAGTTTGTCTTTTGCATATCCTTTTTAAGCTTTATTTAAAAATATGTATTATTGATACTTGTGGTTGCCATAATGTCAAAAAACGTTTTTACATTTATTATAATTGATAGTCTGATAAAATATTATTGCATAGCATAATATTCAGTTGTACAAAAAAAGAGGCATTTATTATTTAATGACCAAAACTGTGAATCAGGGTTTGTTTTTCCTGTTTCTGTATGTTTCAATGATTTGTGGGAAAAAGACATAATCACATGCTATCTTTTATATTCCTAGTGTGTAAATATTACTCAATGATACATATATACACCTGGAAAAAAGTTAAGCACCCCCAAATATTTTTCAGGATTGCTTATTGAAAATAAGGTTTAATTTTCATGATGTTGAGCAATGTTCATAATTTCAAACATAATTT